GCCTCTCTGTTAGCAGCTGACAGCTAGCCTCTCTGTTAGCAGCTGACAGCTAGCCTCTCTGTTAGCAGCTGACAGCTAGCCTCTCTGTGTTAGCAGCTGACTGTTAGCAGCAGCAGCTAGCTTCCTGCACATGTTTAATCATGAACAGTCATCAGTCCAGTGGGTCTAGTAAACTAAGGTTAACAGCCTGTTTCATTGAACAGTTTAGTAAAATAACTAAGTATAATTAAACAGACTATAACTCTGAGTRCAGCTGAGGGTCTTCTGGGACCACCGTAGATCAGGTCTTGTCTGCTGTTAATGAGGAGTTTTTCACCAGAGAACCAACACAGAAACAAAAGTTTAAATTGTTTGTCACTTCCTTGTTTATGAACTTGTTTATTTGATWWAAAAAAAAAAAACACACCTAACTTGTGATCAACAGGAAGCTCTCAGTCGCATCATCAGCACATTAGCCAATAAGAGTGAAGAGCTCCAACACTTCCTGGATTCTGTCAACAGGACCCTGACAGGCCTGCAGGTCACCATCTTATTGACTGAGGGGATGCAGGGGGWGGAGCTAAAATAACCTCCTAATTAATGCTGCTAATCATCTGTTCAATCAGGAGGAGTCATGTAAGGTGATGTCAGAACTTGAGGCGGAGCTTGAGCAGCTAAGCTCCGCCTTGGAGGAAAGAGGTGCTCAACTGCGTGACATCATAAGAGAAGAGAACCAGAGGAAAGAGGCGGAGCTTCAGGTGYAGATTGGAGATTATTTTCTTGTTTCCAGTTTTCTGTTCATTCGAACACAAAGTCACTTCCTGTTTCACTTCCAGCGGCAGATTTCAGATGGAAAATTAGCTCTTTTGTCCTGTGAAGAGCTGCTGGAGTTCGCAAACCAAAGTCTGACCATTACCAGCGAAAAAGACTTTCTCACGGTGTGTTGATGTAGCTTTGAATAATTTCATCAAATATTCTGMAAACATGGAGCAGTTTTTGAAAAAGTTTCTGTTTGTTTTCAGGCGGCAAAACAAATCAAAGAACGGTACGTTCCCCCGACACACAGTTTGTTTCCTGTTGTCACATGTTGGATTATTAATCTGAACATGTTTCCTGTTGTCACATGTTGGATTATTAATCTGAACATGTTTCCTGTTGTCACATGTTGGATTATTAATCTGAACATGTTTCCTGTTGTCACAT